TATATATATATGTGTGTGTATTAGGGTCCTCCAGAGAACCAACAGGATGTGTGTGTGTGTGTGTGTGTGTGTGTTTATAAAGAGACAAGCAATTTGCTCAGGTGATTTTGAAGGCTGGCAAGTCTCAAAATCTCTAGGGTGAGTAGGTAAACTGTAAACACAGGAGTCAATGGTTAAGTTCCAGTCTGAGTCCAAAAATCTGAGAAATGAAAGAGTGATGGTGTAATTCCAGTATGAAGTTCCATCGGGCTCATGATCCAGGAAGGTCCTGTGTTTCAGTTTTAGTGCAAAGGCAGAAAAAAAAGAGCCAGTGTCCCATTTTGAAGGCCATTAGATAGAAAGAATTCTCTCTTACGCAGTGGATGGTCTGCCTCTTTGTTCTATTCAGGCCTTCAACTGATTGAACAAGGCCCACTCATATTGGGAAGGGCAATCTACTTTACTCAATCTCTTGATTTAAATGTTAATCTCATCCAAAAATACCCTCACAGAAGCATTCAGAATTACATTCAGCCAAATAGTTGGATACCAAATGGCCCAGTCAAGTTGGGACATTAAATTAACCATCACAATATGCTAAACATAAATAAATTAGAAATAGAAGAGTTAGGTGCACCATTGTTCTCTTTTTAAAGATATCTCTGTTCTTAGAGTTGTGTTATTATACCTTTATTCATGAACACTTATCACAGTAAAGTCCTGAGGGTAGGGATGGAAGGATGTAGGAGAAGAAAATGAAAGTAACAGGATTTGCACAACGTTGGCCACTACATCTTAGTTCTTCCAGAACTACGATTTCTTGGGCTGATATTACTTCTTGGTGAACTATACAAATTGAGAAGACGTTGGAGGCAGATTTTTTATTGTATTTTTTCACGTGATTCTGGTAATGAAAGTATAGTGCAAGCAAACATTTAAACTGAAATCATCAGATAGTAAATACCTCTGTTTTAATCTACTACACTAGAGGTAACTATTACTCATTTACAAAGCTGTTTTTAACTTGAAATATGAGATTTGAGAGGCTCACAAAAGAAACATGGCCTTTGAAAGAGAAACTGAGGCACTGGTAATGAACTCATCACTTCCATTAATATTTTATATCAGCAAAAAGTTCCTAAAGGAAGTATCAAGATGTGGTTCTACACTCCCATAGTATCTGATTTGTGTGAATCATGAAGTTCATTTTCTAAATTCTTGAATACTCAAAGAACAAAAAAGAAGCTGCATTCAGAGAGGCAGAAGAGCCTAGAGCAGAGGTTGGCAAGTTGTGTTGCTACTCACAAAATTTTGAGACTTGAAAGCATATATTATTTTCTGAAGAATTTTACTCTTTCTTAGAAAAGCGGGGACAGAACAAGATAATAGCATCTGCTTCATAACCAAAAAACTTGTTTGCCATCTAGAGGCCAAACTGGGCTTCACTGGATTGTTTATTCTCTATTGTTGCCTTGGTGAAATAGAGCTCAAAAGACTGAAATTTAGGCTGATTATCATATCACCTCATGGTTTAGTGTGAAAATTATATAAGATGCACCAAAGGAAAAAAAAAAAAAAGTTCAGCATAGCACAGTGACTAACACAAGGCAAATAAGCAACAAATATTTGCTTTAAAAATATCAGATTATGTAATATATTCAGATATATTTAAACTTAACATGGATTCATAGTCTTCATTTCTAGCTACAAACCCCCCTGTATCATTCAGCACCTCCATCATTTTGCCATACAATTATTTCGATTTCACTCTCCACTAGGAAACTGTAAGCTTCTTGGTAGTATCAGTTCTTGATCTATAAAACTCATCTGGTTTTTTAAACAGTGTTGCAATGGAGTCAGCATTCAAGAAATCTCTTTTGAATTGAATTGAATTGAATAAACAGTAGAATTCATGAAAAAGAACCTAACAAATACATAGTTGAGTAGATATTTTCAAAGATCCCCAAATCCTATTCTATGAAAAAAATAAATAAGGTTACTTTTTTAAAAGCTCATGTTATAAAAATGATAGGTGCTATGTCTCTGATAATTTGACATAGCATTTTATCCTATGGAAATCATGTAGTTAACACAGAACTTAACCGTTGCAATTGTGTAATTTGTCTCAGTGTTTATGTAATCATTGGTACAGTTGGCTTTGCACAACTTAGAGAAGCACGATTTTTGTCATAGTTGACTAACAAGAAAAGACGACATTTGGAAAAGAAAGTTTTTACTAAGGAAAATAAGATACCCCAGAGAGTGTGGAGGCTGCACTTTTTTATTTCAGGTTAATGTGACCCATTAATATATTTCAGAATTTCTGGTGCATTTAAAACTGGTTTATTAAATTCTCCTGCAAAGATAAAAAAATCTTCAAAAAGTGTCATAATCCATTTTAAAAGAAGTTCTGAAAATTAAAGCAAGGGAGCCCCCTTGTGGACTGAATCTAATGCCATGTATAATAAACTATCAGTTAAAATCAATGATATCACTAGTGTATAGCAGATAAATTCAATAGAGGTTGAAATAAAAATAATTTATTTTCAGGTGAGATCCATCAGAAATGGATTACAAATGATTCCGTCATATATATTTATATGTACCAACTCAATATGACGGAGAATAATTCCTAAAGTCAGCGCCACTTGGATGAATTATGGACTTGGCAAAAACAAATTGTGCTATCCCTAAGTGGTTTCTCCAACAAAGCTGCCCAAAGGATTATTTATTCTGGAATCAATGGCTCATTCAAAACTCAAAAATGTAATTGGCATTAGAAATCAAATACGTTTCTCTACAAGACAGAGAATTTAAACAAAGGTAGGTTAATTTATTGGTGAAACCAGTTTATCTAACGAATAGAAATCTGTTATTTAAAAATGTACCTGTTAATACTACTTAGAAAGCTACATAAAAGATACATAAAAAATATATTTTATTAGTGAAATTCTTCGTCTTGAAAGTTCAGAATGAAGTAAAAGAAAAGTATAACTAGATTTATGAGCAGTGACATAGAAACAAATGCACTTCCTTTAGGCTAAGTTCCTCTATATTTCCTATCAATAGCAGATCTTAAAGCACATTTTTTTAAAGTCTAGTTTTATTTTTCTCCATATATCCTCATTTCCCCCATGGTGTTATATTTGGACCAAAGAATACAAATCAGTAAAAGTAAATAGTTAGAAAAATAAGAGTTGTAGTTAATTTTCCAAATGTTTAGTACCATAAACAATCATTATGAACACTTTATAAAAAGAGGCCTGCATGCTCTAGTAATAGTTTATAAATGTAATGAATTCTTATTGCACTGGAAAATTGCCCACATGTTAGTGAGTAGGGATGAACTTGATTTATTCCATTTGAATACAACTCCTGATCTCTATTAGGAACCTCCTCTGGTGTTTCATTCTCTCATCAAGCCCTGATATTTGTCTGTGTTTTGTTGAGGTATAAAAACATACTATCTGGAACCACACAGATGTCTGCACTCCCTTCTGCACAAAATATACTCATAATTTCTTTTGCGTAGATTGCTTTTTTAAAAAAAGTTAAGTACACATTTCCGTGAAGGGAAGGATATAACGTAATAGTGACAGAGTGACAACTAAACTGTTCTACATATGAAATTAATCTAAATTCAGGAGTTCAAAGATAGTCTGTGGAGCTGAGATCTATGAGAGAAACAGAGGGGTTGAGAATATGTGGAATCTGCAGCAGATAGAGGGAAATGCCATTCGATATGAAATTTCTAGTTGTCAGGGTGAGTGGTCAAATACTTTCAGGCACAACAATGTCTAATTTTGAATTTAGGTTTTTTGGTGTTTGTTTCTTGTTTTGTTCTGTTTCGTTTTGTTTTGTTTTTACTGTATGATGTGCCACTCATCCTATCACCAAGAAAAAAAGCCTCTGCAAAAGTTTGCAAACCAAAAATGTCTTCTATGAGTGGTGTATTAAAGAAAGCATAGACACCGAGCTATAATACATGGCTACTGAAGTTTGGGGTAGAGAGAGATTCAGCCATGGGAAGTGCAGTGTGACAAACCAAGCATTCACCAGCAGCAGAAAAAAAAGTTTAAAAATAACCACCGGAACATAAGAATTCAAAGAAATTATGGGTACTATAGAGACTTTCTATAGAAGATAGTTTATTGGCAAAGATAATCTCAGGTGACAGCTTAATTCTGTTAATTATTGCAATTTCTCTATTTTAGGTAATTACCATAGACATAATTGTACTACCTATACCTCTAGTTCCCTACAAAACAAGCATTATTTTAGCCTCCTTCTTAAAACGCTCCAGTGGCTTAAAACCACTCCTGTTACAAAGCCTCTGCAAGCCCTTCGACCTCCCTCACATTCCACTCCACAACTTCATCTTTGTGCTCTAGCCACATTGACCTCTCAGCTCCTCTAATGTGAAAATTCCATTAAGCCTCAGACCCATGGCCTATGCTAGTCCTGGAATGTTATCTATTGCCCTTTGTTACTTTATGCATGTAAGACTTGTCTTGATATCTTGCTTTTCTCCCCAACTGACAGCAAACTTACTAAGAGCAAGGCATGTGTTCCATCACTGGGCAACTTTTCAGTAGTATATATTCGCTTTTTCCATACCCCTCTGGTCCATTACTGGATAAATCCACTTCATGTACATCTTCTCTTATTTTAACAACATTAACAGAAGAAGAAACAGTCTTTTGGAAGACTACTACTTAGTATCTTTCTCTGATACTGCATGCTTCTACTGCTGTCTGTGAAAAGAAATCCAGGTGTCTTCACCTTATCATGTTAGATTATCCCCCTCCCTTGTCCATCTACCATCAGGGAACCTTGTTCAGAGCCTCACTTCATGAAGCCAAGTAATCACTAATCTAGCTTGAATTGATAAGACTACCTTCCTTCAATATCCAAGACCATTTCCATCATACCTTATGTCAACTCGCATTTAACATCGAGAAGCCCAAAAGTCTCAGAGCATCTGTCTATTTACCACCTTACTCTTCTGTGTATCCTCTAACCTGAGCTCTATAAAACATTTTCACTGCACTCTGAAACTCCTGTGGAATGACCAAGAAATCTCTATGTTCCTCAAATTCGTATAGCTTTCCTATCACCTTTACCATAACGAAAACCTGACTTCCATGAAAGTATTGTTTCCCTGAAGCCCTCTCAAATGGAATTTTGTTTGTACTCATCCCCAAAATTGAGTTATAGAATCTCCCTATTACAAGACTTCAAAGATATGTTTAATAATTATTACAATGAAAAGGAGGATATTGAGTAATCATTTCCTTCATGTATCTTGGCTATTTCTAGCATCTCTAGGTTTGTTTGTTTGTTTGTTTGTTTCCCCTAAACTAAATAAAATCTATGTAAACCCATATTTTCTCTTCTTCAACTTCCCATATAAGAAGGGAAAAAGAGGATATAGATGTTAAATGCCTACCAATCAATAAGAAAATATCTTAGTTTCTCTTCTACTCCACAATGATTTCTAAGCTAAGTGGTGTTATTGATGGTGTCTGGCATTCTAGATGATGATGCATTTTCAGAGTATTTCTTTTCTTCTTAGATGGGCAAAATTCATCAGATAATGTCAATAATTCCCTTTTTGGCATACCAATATACACTGTGGAAGTAATTATTTCCTCCACATTGACACTGACTATACAAAATATGCAGTGGTTTTCACTCCAGGTATAAAAAAGACACACATAAATGAAGCATCTAACACAAAAGTAGTAACAGGGTATAAGATTAAGTTCCTGGAGAACTTAAGAATCCAGCCAGTATTCAGAAATGGCTTGAGTCATATGTACCAATAGAAGAGGTATTATTTATGGAGAATATTTAAGAAACACACCTGTAGCAACTATTAAGACAGAGAACTATAACTTCTGGTAGTTAGGCAATAGCAAATACCTATAATTCTCAAATGTGTTTAACTTTCTTCATCATTTTCTTACCTTAACTGAAAACTGGCTTCTGGTAAAACACTGTTTCCCTGCAGCCCTCTTGTGAGACCTGAGTTTCATCACACCTGTGTACTCTGGAATCTGCAGGTGAAGTGTTGTCTTCCTTGGTCTTACTGCACTTCATGTGTGTGTGTGTGTGTGTGTGTGTGTGTGTGTGTGTGCGTGCGCGCGCGCGTGTGTATGTGTATTGCGTGTTTCTCTTATGTCCTTCAAGTACACGTTGTCTTGAAGAACTAATCCTGGATTCTCCTCCCCAGGTAATCATTAACTAACCTTTCAGTTATTCCTCTTCATTTACTGAAGACATTAACTCTTGTTCATTTCTTTCTCTCTATCATTACTTTTAACATCACTCTTGATAATATCAACATTTATGGAAAATCCAGCAAACATTATCTAATAGTTTTATAGTGCTTACAATATGGCAGGCACAGTTAAGAAGTTTACTAAAATAAATTAATCATCGTAACAACCTTATACTGTAGGTACTATTATTATCTCCATTATACATATGAGAAAACTGAAATACAGAAATGTTAAGTCACTTGGTTCCTTTAATAAGAAGAGACAGAATTTGAACCCATGAAATCTGACTCCAGTCTATGCATTTAGCCACTAACATTTAGGTTAGAATCACAGCTTTTGCTATTTGAATATAGTTGTTGTCTACCTCCACACTTAGTCCCTTCAGGCAAAATAGCATTTCCTTTTTTTATATTCTGCAAATTCAAGAACCCTCACTTTTTGATTATTTTCATTTTAGATCCTCTGTGCTCTCCAAAATAGATTATATTATTTCCAGTGTGATCATATCAGAGTAAATAAGAGTGGGGAGCATATTTCTTTTCTGGTATGAATACTAATAATTATATTAACAAAGTCTTAGCTTCCAAAATTATTTTAGCATTCATGAGGAAATAACTGTAGGAATGCAAAATACCATTTGCATTGAAGTTATACCAAATGTGGGCTATGAATCCCTAAATATTTGTTTAAGGTATAGTATAAATTTGTCTCTGGAATTTTTAGCAGCCAGTCTAAAGGAGTAATCAAAATATGTTACATGATTCACAAGGTTTATAAGATTAACGAAAGTCACTTTCTCAGAGGAAGCACAATTTTTAATGAAAATGAAATTCTAGAGACATTTCCCCTATGGTTCCAATTAAGAAGACATTGTGAGATATTATAAACAACAACCTCATCACCAGCCATGTACAAGTAAAGCACAGAGATTCATAGAGCTAGTTTCTTAAAATATTCCCCAATTATTAGCCAATGACTTTGCACCAATGTGCAAATGAATGATGTTCTCCAAGGGACCAATATACTGTAGTCTTTGTAAATAATTTTAATTAATAAAATTTATTTTTATATCTCAGGTCATAGTAAAATTCATGTTTAATTGGTTCTTTCAATGTGTTGAATCCTAGGTATGTTTCTTTCTCTGTATTTCCATTTCTTGAATGTTTGTAATCTAGATTTTGGGTATTGCAAGAAATACTAAGAAATATTGCTTCCAATTTTTAGAAGATAAATAATTTTTGTAAATCATATAATTAATATATATTATTAAATATTAGTAAATAATAAAATAGTTTAATTAGGAAGCCTATGTTTAAGTAACAGTTCACTACATCATAATTAAGACCTTCTCTCTGAAAAACTACTTACGTTTAAATAGAGACTCTGGCAGAATGTAGCTGAGTTTGGACAAGTTCTTCTCTCTGCCCCAGTTTCCTCATTTGCAAAATTGGGATAATATTAGTACATACCTCATGTGGTAGTAATAATTAAGTGAGTTATCATATGGAAGACATTTAGTATAGTGACTAGCAAAGAAGAAACAATAAATATTAGTTGCAATGATGATGTTGACAATTTTCATGATTGCTAACTTCACTAATTTTTCAGCTTTCTCATCAGTGTAATGGAGATAATACTATTCATCTATATTTTGTGCTAAGAATTAAAATATAAAAGACAGCATATACTAAGTTTATGGTACATAAGAAGCACTCATTAATAGTAGCAATTATTACTGTTATTATCTTCCATTTTTCAACAAACTTTAGTGTATGCCTATTATCAACAAAATACTTTGCTAGTTCTAGAACAAAGTGGGCTATGAGTCTTGAGGATTTTTTACTGATCTATGAAGCACAGCAGGTAACCAGTACCAGCAGAATTCTACTGGCTCAGTGTCACAAATGAAAGTTAGTCTTTGCTTCCTTTCTAGTTCTCAGGTATTCAAAGGCAGAGCAAGGAAGGCATCCATGGGATGGGGAGGAGGCATTTCCACCAATAGTTCAGTTGGCTGTTTGTCTTGAGTGTGATGCGGTGGTCTGGTCAGCACACACCTGTTCCCATGATATCCTGCTGTGGGCGCCACTATGCAGTGGAGGGAGGGGTGGGTGAGGAGGATCTCTTTTCCACAGGACCAAAGGAATTGAACAAACCAGAGTCTTTTTAAAATTTTCTCTGAGTAACCAAAACTTACAGTGACCACATTCAGCTAGATTTTAACTATCAATGGAGGCTCATTTAAGGAGTGTTAAAGCAACTAAGAGTAAAAGAAGCCAATCTGAAAAGACTCTACACTGCATGATTCAACTTAAACAATATTCTGGAAAGGCAAAACTATGGAGACAGGAAAAAGTTCAATACTTTTCATGGTTTGGCAGGAGGGACGGGATAAATAGACAAAGCACAGAGGATTTTTAGTGTTAGTGAAAAATTCTGTATGTTACTATAATGATGGATACACGTCATTATACATTTGTGCAAACCTATAGAATGCACAACACTAAGAGTGAACACTAACGCAAACTATGGACTTTGGATAATTATGATGTGTAGATATAGGTTAATCAATTGTAAGAAATGTACCACTCTAGTGGGGATATTGATAATGGGGGAGGCTATGCGTGTGTGGAGATAGCAGGTATATGATCAATTTCTCTACCTTCCCCTTAATTTGACTATGAAATTTAAACTACTATAAAAACAAAGAAAATCTTTACAAAATAAATATAAAATTTAAAAATCAAATAGAAGTATTTGAATGCCCAAAGCACTTATGTATTTCAAAAAACCTTGACGTAACTACACTTTATATGTGGAAAATATAACAATGCAATTATTTAGTAGACTCTACTAATGTTGCTGTAGATCTAACATCTTGAAAAATTTTATAAAATTGTGAAAAAATTTTAAAAGCGGTTTATCATAGTCCGTGTACATCTGCATGTGCGTGTATACATGTGTGTCTGTGTGTGTGTCCATGAATTTGGGGAAACAAGGTGCAGTTGGGAAAAGTATTAGGAAACTAGTCTCTAATGTGAGCATCCCACATCTATGTCATGCTAAAGACATTGGACTTAGGTATTTAGCTTACTGTTTTCAAGAATGATTGTATTTGGAAGCATCTGGGGATTATAACTTTATAACTGGCACTAACTTTAACAGGCATCAGTATTTTAAAAAGTTTTTCAGGTCTAATGTGTAGCCAGTGTTGAAAATCAATGCTTTAGACAATGAGAAGCAGCATAAAGATTTTAATTAGCTGAGTAACATGATGTGATTTGCCTTTTAGAAAGATCTGTTAGCAGTGTGGAGTGAAAGGGGCACAATTGAACACAGTAGCAACAATTTATTAGAAACATCAAATTGTTAGAAAACAATCTAAAACCAATAACCAGAAAACAGTTAATTGAGAGGAAATATACCTCTGACTCCATCTCTGTATTGTTCTTTATTGATTGGATAAATTGAATTGCTCACACATCAAAGAAGACAATTTATTTGTGTTTTGAATAATGTGGCTTCTAAAGTCCCAACACACTATGAGATACAACAAATTTTAGTTCCTAGATTTAGATGTGTATTTCCTGTTGAACATTAGATGTTACACATAGGTTAAGTGTTATATAATTAGATTTCCATACAATATATAAAATCATGATTTCCTCCTTTCTGAAACTGTTTATGTTCATTAACTAACCATGAGAAATAAATGTAAAAATCACAGGTAGCAACCAGGTTCCTGATTAAAGGCAACATTAAGATATCTATGTTACTGAATTACAGCACACTGAAAGGGATAGGGAAATTTATGGAGATAAAGTCCTAACACTAGATTAATTGTA